TTCTGAAGTCTTTTATATTCTTCTTCTAATCCTTCTCGTGTTTTCTTTTTCTCCTTATTTTTTTCTTCCTATATAGGAGATTGCTAATCCCCCCAAATATGCCTTGGCAGTATACCATACATTTTGCAAGGATGTTTCTCCATTTTTATTCTTTTTAAAAAAAGAAATGCATTTCCTTCTCTGTTTTTTGTATAATCTCTTTATTTTTCAATGCTGACTGCTTTAATGTCCATCTTGGTTTTCTTATTTGTCCTTTCCATTTAAATTTTATTGGATTATGGTCTGCCCAAATGCTTGACTCCACTTCTACTTCTTGTATATTCTCTTGCAATTCCAATGCCATCCATATCATATCAATTCTCGACCATGATTTACGCTTATTTGAATAGAAAGTATATTATTTTTTCTCTGGTTTTAATTCTCTCCAAGCATCTTTAATTCCTATTTTCTCTGTCATTTTAAAAAAGGTCTTTGGTAAGGTTCTCCTAGCTTTTTGATTTTTTTTACTACTTTTATAGTGTAAATTTACATCAACAATTGCATTAAAATCTCCCACAATACAAATGTTATCCTATTCCATTTCTATAATTTTATTATGCAGTTGTTCATAAAAAACTTCTTGCTTAGTATTTGGTACATATATTGCTGATAATAGTGTCCATTTATCATTACTTCTGCTGTCAAGATTCTATTCTCTTCATCTTTGTAAATTTGTTTTGATTCTATTGATTCTTTGATGAAGATGGCCACCCTCTTTTTTTTCTGCTGTACTAATGAGTACAGTTCTGCTGTACTAATCTAAATTCATTTTTTTTAATTTGTTGAAAAAGCTTTCCTTTTCACTGAAGAGTTCAATCCATTAACGTTAACTGACATTAAAGTAATTTCTTCTTCCATCTTTTTACTTGAAGATAGGTCTGGTTGTCCTAGTGGTTCTTATTTCTCTGTTCTCTTGCTCTAGCTCCTTCACGTTCTGCTCTTTCTTTTTGCTTCATTTCACTCTCTTTTACTGTTTCCACTCTGATAGATACTTCTTGTCTCTTCTTGTCTGCTTTCCCTCTTTTCTCCTCCTCTTCCTCCATGCTGAAATGTTCATAATCAAATTCAGTTGCCTTGTCTATTAAATCTAACTCTATCTTTTTTCATGCCAAGTCACTAATAGGCCTTCAGGTATCAACCATCTAAAGTATATGTTATATTTAATCAATTTTCTTGCCAAAAATAGGTATTCTCTTTTTTATCTCACACTCTTCTCAGTATTTGTTTTAGAATCATTATTTCTTTCTCTTTATACACCATTGGCATCCTTTAGCTTTTTGAAGTATTTCCATTCTAGTCGTTTTTCAGGAACCTAATATGTACTTCCCTGGGGAGTTTATTCCTCCTAGCACAGTGTGTGTGGACCCGAAAAATTTCATCCATCTCAGATAGTGCCTCCTGCTTGCTCACTACCAACACTTCAGCCAACAACTCTGCCATTTTATCAGGGAGGTCTTCCCCTTTCTCTTCTATATTTTGAAATCTTAGGAAGTATTCAGCCTTTTCCATCTCCAGGGATATTATCGAGGCCTCCAGGCTGTTGTCCACCTGAGTTAATCTCTGGTCCATTTCCACCAACTTTTTCCACCAACAATATAACCAGATCATCAGCAAATGCCCTCAATTTATAAACTTCTTTCTTAATGTTTATACCCCTTATTTTATCATCTTGTCTGATACTTCTATTCAGAACGTCCAATACCAAAATAAACAACAGAGGGGCATCCTTGTCTTGTACCCTGTTGAATTTCACATGAGTTACTTAGATCACCATTTATGATTATTTTTGCGTTTTGTGATATGTAGATTGCTTTAAGTCCATTTTGTCCAGCATCTTAAACATAAAAACCCGATTTAGGTTGTCAAAAGGCTTCTCTGTATGTAAAAATATTAAAGCAGCCTGTTTCTCATTATGATATAGTAAGTATTCAATAATAATTATGACAGTCCTCATATCATCTCTTAGCTGAATTTTCGGCAGAAAGCCTGCTTGGTCTTCAAGTATATATGCCTGTAAAATCTTCTTTAGTCTTTCTGCCAGAAAGGCAGTGAAAAGTTTGTAATCTTTGTTTTTATAGTGAAATTGGTCTGTAATTCTTTGTCTTTGTAACATCTTGACCCTTCTTTGGGAGAACACAATGTTTGCTTCTTTCCACTTCTGGAGTATATTTTCCCTCTGTAGTATATCATTCATTATATACTTTAGTGGTTGAAGGAGTTCTTCCTCGAAGCACTTATAGTATTGGCTTGTGAGACCATCTGGGCCTGGGGTTTTGCCTGGCCTCATTTTTTTAATGGCTTATGTTATCTCAAAGACAGTTATTGGGTCATTCATTAGTTGACTCTGGGTTTGTGATAGTTTAGGCCAGTGGTCACCAACCAGTGGGCCGCGAGAAAATTTTGGTGGTCCGCAGAGAAATGTCACCCCCAGAGCACCCTCCAAAGCAATTAATCCAGGCTGTGTGGGAACACAAGGCTGCACTGCCCACATGGCCCACAGGAACCCTCCCCGCCCACTCAATCCTTACCTGGCAAACTTGCCAGCTAAATTGCTATTTTTCCTTTTTTTTTTCCAACCATCAGCTGTTCTGCTGTGCCGGGAGATTTAGATTAGCTAGAAAGCAGGAAATAATTGGATTTCTTGCTTTCTAGCTAATCTTTAGATCTTCGGCTCTGCTTTTAAGCAGAGCCGAACCTTCCTTAGGACTGAAGCTTCTATTTGTCAGTGCAGACTCAGGTAGCTGATGTCAGAAAGATAGGTCTCTGAATGAATCTGTGATTCTATGAGCAATTCAACCTGCCTGCCTGCTTTGCCTGATTTTGGGTAAAAGTTGCTCTTTTTTTAATAAAAAAATCAGTATTTACATACATGGTTTATTGTGAGTTAATTTTGTGAGTTTGCTTACAATCAAATTTTATGTGACAGACTCAGGTAGCCGATTACAGAAAGATAGATCTCTGAGTGAATCTGTGATTTTGTGAGCAACTCAATCTGCCTGCCAGCTTTGCCTCATTTTGAATAAAAATTGCTTTTTTTATAAAAAATCAATATTTACATCAATATTTATAATATTTACATACAAGCTATGCCCAGCCAGTCACATGACCACCAAGCCACACCCACAAATTAGGCCATGCCCACAGAACTGGTTGTTAAGAAATTTGAATCCCACCCTTGCCTCTCTGTGCTTGTGTGTGTGTGTGTGTGTGTGAGGGAGAGAGAGGTTAGATCAGATCTCTCTCTCTCTCTCTCTCCTCTCTCTCTCTCTCTCTCTCTCTCTCTCCCATTAACGTCAGCAAGCCACCATCAGTCAAAATTCATATTAGTGGTCTCCAGGATTTAAAATTATGAGTTTGGTGGTCCCTGAGGTCCAAAAGTTTGGCGACCCCTGGTTTAGGCAACTGTGGTCTTAAAAATATTTGTCTATTTATGACATATCTATCTCCTGTCTTTTATACAAATTTGAATAGAAATTATGAAAGGACTTTTTAATAAGTTCACTATCTTAGGCAACATTTTTGCCTTCACAGATTTTTCCAATCATTGCCTTTCCCTTTCTTTTTTTAATTTATATGCCAACCATATACCTGGTTTGTTTGCAAACTCAAAATGTTTTGTGTAGGTCAATTTTGTTTCTATTTCCTGTACTGTTAACGTAGATAATTGTTGTAACAATTTGATATGGTATAAAATCAGGGTCTGGCCTTGTCATGACTATTAATGATTGCTGAGATCAAGAAGCATTTGCAAACTGAATATGTGCTTTCAGGAAAAAAAATCAGTCAACAAAAAGGTTGAATCTCAGTCTCTGATCCTTTTAGTCATCAGCATACTAATGTCATCCCAGATGACCTCTCCAAGGAGCTTCATGCAGATGTTGAGTAGAATAAAATAGGTGTCAACCTTGAAGCTAACCTGACCAAAACCATCTTGGAAATTTCAGTGTTGCCACAATGGAGCTGAGAGGGGGATTTGAGATAGCTGGGATTTTGTAGCCAAAACAAAATACTTTCTCTTGGGAACCAAGGTCATTCTCACACCTGGTCAGAGGAAGGAGAAGTGATGTCACCAGGCAAACAGACAGTGCTATGATTGGAGCATGGTGTCAAAGTCATATCGGGACTTTTTCTCCCTTCGGTAAACGGAGCGTGGGCATGACCAGCACGTGATGCATCCAGCCCATGGGCCAGGAGTTTGATAGCCCTGGCCTAGTAAAAGGTGCAGAACCACAATCAAGCAGTTCCCTTTTGGCTTAGGTCCTTCTGGCAGTTCAGAAGAGTACTATAATTGATAACACTTGAAAGCTGCTAAGAAGTCCAAAAGAATTAGCAGGGCTCTCCTCTCTACATTTAATTCATGGTGTAAACTTACAGACTAAGGCATCTGCAAGTATTTCAGTTCTATATCCTGGATGAAAGCCTGATTGAAATGGAAATCTGAGTCTGTGCTATAATTGGGAAGGTTTACTGAGTTGAGGCTGAGGTGCTTTTTTAAAATAAAGTCTTACTGCTTCATGGCTTGGAGGAACACATCTCTCTGCCAGTGGGCATTATACTGAGTCAGACCTTTTTATGCTACAACCCAGTAGTTTCCATTTTTGGAGATCAAAATGATATATTTGTTAATGGCTTTAGCCAATTTTGCTAATCTAACCCTCAGCTAACCCTTCAGGTAAGACTGTTTTCTCTTCCACGAACATTTCCACTATTAATCCATGCTCCCTTTTGGTTAAGCAACTGCATCCTTTGGTTTAAAAATTTAAAAAAAACCTTAAAATCTTGTGTAGTTTGTTCCACCTGCCATTTTGGTATTACTGATGCTACATGTTTGCTCTTTCCTGCCCACCTCTGTCAAGTCTATATGGATGGCATTTTTGTAAGAAGGGGCGTTAACTTTCTGTTCTCTGTAGCTTCCTGTTTCATTCCAGATACCCAACACTGCCTTGCTTTCTTTTTTGCAGGAGACAACCGTTTCCGGATGTTCTTTGATGTGGTGGTGATACTTATCTGTGTCCTATCTTTCATCTTGTGTTCCCGCTCAATTATCAAGGGGCTTCGACTGCAGCATGTGAGCATTACTAGAAAAGGGCATCCTTTTCCTTAGGGGATTCCTGTAAGCAGGATGGGAAAGGACCTTTTTGTGCTGAACAGCTGAAAAAATTCAAATTTTCCATGAAGATGGGAGGAGAAGCTGGCACATTTCTTAAAGTATATTGCTTGTATATTTAGAATTGTTTCCTATAAAAATTCAACATATAACTAGAGTCTAGTGCCCTGGTTCATTCTGATCTGGTTTGTCCCTGCTGTGCTTCTTCAAGAGGTGCAGCACTTTGGCATTTCTTCTCCTTCCTCTGCTCCTAACTTTAATTTTTGAAAAGCAGAAATAGAATTTGAGGCTTACATTAACATTTACAAAGCAACCAGATTTAGCCACAAATGAACATAGTTTATTTAGGACAGAGTAATTATTTGCAAAAGAGAAAAAAAATTAAAAGAGAAAAAAAAAGGTTTGCCTGTATTAGTCAATGATTTATGACTGGTCACTTGGTGACCATTTGAAGTTCTGCTGAGAGCTACTTATACCCTGGATTCAAAGTTCTGATGGCTATCCCCACAATGTCATGACTGCATGTCAGGTCCTCACAGCCAGTCCTCATTTATGGATGTATGCAGCATCCCATGGTTCCATGACTGCACTTTATGCTGGTTTTGGCAAAATACAGCATTTACTTCCAGTTTTCAACAAAACTGGCCCATAGAATACAATTGATTCACATAATGATCACTTAACAACTGTCAAAAAAAGATTGTAAAATTGAGTCAATCATATGGGTGACCAAATGAAGAACAGTCTCAACTTATAACTGTGATGGGCAGGCTCCATTATACTCATAAATTGAAAACTACCTATATAAAAAATGTTCTGGGGAACAGATGCAAAATTAATGCAGGTTTTCTTGCTATGGCAGTTGGCTTGTGTAATACCCAGAATTTGCAAATGTTGAAATAGAAGTAGGAGAACATAGTAGAAGAATTGTCAGCTGCTTTTATTCTGCAGTAGAAATGTGCAAAGTATTTTGAATTTGAACAATTACAGGCTCAGACATTTCTTGTAAGTCCAAATCCGTGCTGGAATACTTCCAGTGAAACTGAAACACTTTGTTTTGTACACTCCTTTCTTCAACATTGAGTTTTCACTATCATCTTTAACATTTTCCAGGATTATTTTTGGTTGACCAATTTTTGCTAGGTGTTACTGAGTGACTAGCATAAGAAATATGGTGACGTTTGAAAGGAAATTGTTCAAATGATGAAGCAGTCTCTCTCCTGGCCCTGGTTTAGGGGAGATGAATAATTTGGCAAGTCCCAAGTCTTTAAAACTAAGCTAATCTAAAGTTCATTGTATTCAGTGTGCCCTCTTGCCCTGATACAAGGGAAGGAGATAGAGCAGTGCAGTGAGGGCAGGGTCACAGGCTGGCAGATTTTGTATTTGATGATAGACAACTTGTTCATAATGGTTCTTTTTTTTATAAAGGAGTTCAGCCGGTTCTTTCAGCAACGCTACAGCCAAAATATCTGTCTCTCTGATCGCATGGAATTTCTTAATGGCTGGTACATTTTGCTAGTGGTGAGCGACATCCTTACGGTGTCTGGCACAATAATGAAAATTGGGATAGAGTCCAAGGTAAGCAGGTTATGACCTTCAGTGCTTGGAATATCTCAGATTTGGAACCCAGAGCTATGAACAGCCTGTTCCAATCCCTCCTCATGGAGTATCTCTGCATAAGGTGTTCTTTACTTGCAGAACTTTGCTGACTATGATATCTGTGGCATCCTTCTGGGTACCTCCACACTCTTGGTCTGGGTTGGGGTCATGCGCTACCTGAGTTTCTTTCAAAAATACAATGTAAGTGGAACACATTTTTTTCTTTCTTCCCAGTGCCAGCCCCAGGTTAGTAGTGGCAAAAGAAAGAGCCAGTAAAAAAATATAAGAAGCAAATCTGGAGTTCCTATCTTAAAAAATTGATGTTGGACTACTCAAAGTATGAAATCTGCTCCTGGGATCAAATCCTGCCTCAGCCATGTTTCCAGGGCTGTTACAGCCTCAGTTTGGATCACATCTGCCTTGATTAAAGGTTCCAGAGCCTAATCTCAGACTGCCTTTTCTTCATGTCTTCTAGATTCTCATTGTTACCATGAGGGTTGCCTTTCCCAATGTCATTCGCTTCTGCTGCTGTGTGGCAGTGATCTACCTGGGCTACTGCTTCTGTGGATGGATAGTCCTGGGTCCCTATCATGTCAAGGTATGAGAAAATGCCAAGCATGAACAAAAGATGCAGAAGTGAACCATTGATTAAAGAAAGTGCTGTTGTAATGCAAATTGAACAATGACATGCATCTTCTTTAGAAGAGGATGCAATTGCTTTTATTTTGAAGACAGAAGCTACAAAGGGGTCAAAGTTTCTGAAGCCTTTGAGCTATGGATGGGTTTCTAATGTGTTCGTCTCCCTTCCATACCAATACATTTCCCTGAGCAGTTGTGGGAGCTTCACAGAAATAGAGAGAGGAGGAAGTTTTTGCTGCCTGTGACATGTCACAATTGCAGGAACCCCTTCTATGTGCTTGTTTTGCTTTTGCTGGATTGTGGTGTCCAGATTTTGGGTGTCTTTTATAGATCTTTATCTATTCTTTTGGTTTCAGTTCCGCTCTCTCTCAATGGTGTCTGAATGTCTATTCTCCCTCATCAATGGGGATGATATGTTTGTGACATTTGCCAGCATGCAGCAGAGCAGCTACCTGGTGTGGCTTTTCAGTCAACTATACCTGTATACCTTCATCAGCCTTTTCATCTATATGGTGCTCAGCCTCTTCATTGCTCTTATCACTGGGTCTTATGAGACCATCAAGGTTAGTCTTGCTAGAAGTTGCCAGTCCTATATAAAGGAAAAGGTAAAGGTTTTCCCTCTCCAGTCATGTCTGACTCTAAGAGGGCAGTGCTCATCTCCATTTCCTAACCAAGGGAGCCAGTGTTCTCATTTCCATGGTCACATGGCTAGCATGACTATACACCAGGGTGCACAGAATTCCTTCCTACCGAAGTGGTACCTATTTATCTATGCCTATTTGCATACTTTTAAATTGCTAAGTGGGCAGGAACTGTGGCAAGTAATGGGAGCTCAGTCCATGTGTGACGCTTGGGTCTCAAACCTTGGTTTTAACTACTGTGCCATTGCACACCTTGCTAGTCCTATATACAAGATAGAATTAAGCAGCTTTGCTCTGAATTCTACAATGGCATCTTGTACACTTCTTTATCAGATACATTTTATTCCTTTTCTAACTTTACTACCTTAAGAAGAGAGATGGTATGAATACCTGGCAGAATAAATGAGGGCATTGCAAATATCTCAGAAGGGATCTCCCCATGTTTCTTGAACAGTAAAAGTGAGGGGAAGATGATAACTTTCAGATCTTACAATAAATATAGAGCTGGTATCCATTGTTTTGTTTCTTATCTGCACTAACTCGCAAGGCAACCCCAGTAACAATAACATGTTTCTCTTTTCAGCATCAGTGTGAGGGGGAAGCATCTGTTACTCAGCTCCATGCCTACATAGCTGAATGCAAAGACAGCCCCGAATCTGGCATGTTCCGCAAGGAAAACAGCTCGTCATGTTCTATTTTCTGCTGCTGTGAAGGGTAGGGTCTATAAGATAGGTATATGTCTGCCTTTGTTCCTATCAATTTAGGACTGGGTAATTTGGATTACAAAGCACTGTGCTTATTCCAACAAAATCCAGCATTTATTCCAGCTATGCCTTAGAATCCTGAAGTGCAAACAGTGCTAGGGAGCTGGATGCATGTTGTGTTCTTCACTGGGAGGAGAGTTTAATAGCTGTCTTGTTTCACTCACAGAAGCCCGATGCAGGAGAATGTGTTGGTGGTGAACTGAGAGCCTCATGGGAACAAAGAGGACTGTTTTGCTGCTTCCCGATGGACTGTCTGGGAGACAAAGTGCCTGGAAGTGGACTACAAATAAGCGAAGAGTGGTCTTTAATGACAGGGTTTGGGATATGAGAGATAGCAGCTTGCAGTGTGAACCCTATGTCTGTTCCCTACACAGCTGTTGCAATAGTCCTCTGACTAACAAGATTGCTGGGGGAAAAGGAGGAAAAATAGCTTTTTAAATAACCTTAGTAGGGCGCCATTAGACTTTATTGAAATCACTACAGTAGATCCCATCTTTTTCAAGTTGGGTGAAACTAGGTTTGCAAAGCATTATCACAAGAAACGCACAACTTTTTTTAAAAAAACTTTGTTTTAGAAGAAGAAAAAGGAATAGTAAATAGGACACGGCAGGAATAATCAAGGCAAAACCCTTGTGTTAGCTCTGAGATCCTTAAGTCACCCATGCTTCCACTGGTTATTTCAGTGAATCCATTTTCCTGAGAAAGGACTGACCCAGTGGCATTATTCTTCAAGCAACATACAAAGGAGTAAACTTCTCTTGAAAATAAAATATTCTCTTCTGATTGTTACCTGGAAGGTTCAGAATGCTATAGAATGAACTGAAATTAATGAGTGGGGTTCGAAGGGGCAAAAGCAGCTACTTCAAAATACGGAGCAAGACTTCTCCCATCTTTTCCTGTTCAAGAGTGATACACGTATTTCCATCTTAGCAGTATTCTATTGGTCTATGTAGTATTTCTAGGTGTGTCATCCGTAGTGAATATTGCTTGTTTACTGTGACATTCTAGTCAAATCATTTTTTCTGGGTTGCAATTTCTGTGTATGAAGAATAGATCATGCTCATTTATCAAGCAGAGAGTATTGTACTTGAACAGGAATATAAGTAGATAAAAACATTTAGCCAGAATTGAAACACTCTTGGCTTGTAGTAGCAGAACATCTTGTTTTATTCAGAAGAGGATGATGGTAGCTCAGGATTGGCAGCCTGGCTTGGAAAAATTCTGTCAACCATTTGGTCATTTTTGTACAAAATGCCAGAATGGAGATATTTTGCAATTTGGTAATGAAGAGACAATATCCATGTCACTATTTGAATGAGAGACTGACCCTGCTCTTTATGGGTATCAGAATTTGAGCTGAAAACTCTCCTCACTGTAATGCTGAAGTGCCCATCATCCCCTGGAATTCTCTCTGGTCTAGTTCTGATCTCTCCTTCAGTGACTCAAGGCTTGTCTCACCTGATAAAGTTGCTTTGAGCAGATAATCTTACAGATGTATCATTTCATCTTCAACTTTACAAAATAGCTCATGACCCAAAAGATGAAAAGCACCAGGTATTTTTTTTACTTCAGAAGCAGAAATTTAGGAATTGCCCTTTTGGACTTTTATTACAGGGTAGGATTAATTATATCCTCCCACCACTGTATGTTCCTGTCTATTAAATAACAAGTTAGTTTTAAAAAATCAAGTGACCCAAATAATGTTAAATAAGGACCAGTTGTTTTAAAGCAGTAATTTAATACAACTGTAACAAAGAATACAATATTAATTTGAATTTTTCCTGTTATAATTTATGAAGTACAGTTTTGGGCTACAAAAATCAATTATTTATAGCTAACAGTATTATTCTAATAAATAATTATGAGAAAAACATTATTTTGGTTTTTCATAATGAATACTATGGGTATTGTCAATACTGCAGCACTGTAATCTGTATATTTAATATCAAAAACCTAGCAACTGCAAAAGACCAGTTGGTTTTACAATGCCTATCCTGAAGCCTATTCTCTATCCTATCCTGAACTCTATCCTGAGTCTATCTTGAAAATGGTGAATGAATGTATTTATGCAGGGCTTCTGTAGAAAAGAGTCCTTACTCTTGGCTTTTTTTAATCTGATAAGTCCATTCTTTGTGGTTGAAAGAACAAGCAATTAAAGATGCCTACAGCTTCTGTTCTGGACGTAGTGTCAGATTTTATTTTCCTGGGCTCCAAGATCACTGAGAATGGGGACTACAGCCAAGAAATTACAAGACACTTGCTCCTGGGGAGTAAAGCTATGGCAAATATAGACAGCATCTTAAAAAACAGAGACATCACCCTGCCAACAAAAGCATGTGTAGTCAAGGCTATGGTTTTTCCAGTTGCAATGTATGGCTGTGAAAGTTGGACCATAAGGAAGTCTGAGCGTCAAAGAATTGAGGCCTTTGAACTATGGTGCTGGAGAAGACTCCTGGGAGTCCCTTGGACTGCAAGACGATCAAACTGGTCAGTCCTAGAGGAGATCAACCCTGACTGCTCTTTAGAAGGCCAGATCCTCAAGATGAAACTCAAATACCTTGGCCACCTAATGAGGACTCACTGGAGAAGAGCCTAATGCTGGGAACAATTAAGGACAAAAGAAGAAGGGGACGGCAGAGAATGAGGTGGCTGGATGGAGTCACTGAAGCAGTTGGTGTGAGCTTAAATGGACTTGGGGATGGTTAGAGGACAGGAAGGCCTGGAAGAAAGTTGTCCACGGGGTCGTGATGGGTCAGACACAAATAACAACAACAGCTTCTGTTATTTGATTCTCAACAAGGAGTATGTATCACACATTTGCACAATGTATTGTATGTGGGAAGTGACTTGTTTTTACCTGGAATTTTGCATAGGTTTTGTTTGTATGTACAATATACTTTCACCAGGATGCATTGAGGGAGGTTTATGGTATATATATTTGCATATAACATTAGATACAGTCGAGTTTGCTTGTCCACACAGATTCTTTGCTCATCATCCATGTGCCTTTTAGTAGGTACTCTAGTGTTTGAAGGGTGCAAACACATGAAGGGACATTTGAGATTCTGAGAGGTTCTTGGTGCTCTCTGAGCTTGGTTGTTTTCTTGCAGACATTTCATTACCCAAGCTAGGTAACATCAGTGCTAGTCTAGCACTGACTACCACTGATTAAATTACCTAGTTTGAATAATGAGACATCTGCAAGAAAACAACCAAGCTCAGAGAGCACCAAGCAACCCTCATTTCAACCTTGAATTACAAATATTCTCCTGTATTGATTTGAGATTCTGGCATTCCATCTTTCTTTTGCTGAAGTTGTTAGATAATCTCTTTGTTACTCTAACCAGAGTCAGTTTGGTGTAGTAGTTAAGACCTCAGGCTAGAAACCGAGATGTTAGCCCTACCTTAGGTGAAAGCCAGCTGGGTGACCTTGGACAGATCACACTTTCTCAACCCTAGGTAACAGGCAGTGACAATTTCCGAAAAGCCTTTTCCAAGAATACTGCATTCAAATAATTTAACAACCGGTTCTCTGGCCTAATGATTTGCTGGCTGGCTGGGTATGGCCAGTGGGTATGACAGCACTCAGCCTCCTGCAGTACTCTGCCAGCCAAAACAGGACACGGGGGTTAATTACAAAATGTGGGCTTTGCTTTGTGACATCCAGATCCAGCAAGCAAGGGGTGTGAACTGCACAGAAAATACACTTTGGTTTGGTTATGAAAAAATATTCCCAAAGTCAGATGTACACTAAATGTAGACTGACTTTTAGCTACACATCTTCCCAGCAAACAACAAAATTTGAAGCTCCAAGTAAAGAGGATTCATCTTAGGATGAGTAACCAGTCTGCATGTTGGAGGTTCCTAAAGGAATACTGGGAAATTGTATTTTAAAGAACATTTGAGGGAGGGGTGCAGAATAGCCCTTCTCTGCCTGAGGCTGTAGAGATCTGGCACCCATCAAAACACTGTTTGTGGAGCAACTGATCAATACTGACAGGGTAAGCCACTAAGTATATGAAAATAAGAGCAAACTCCACTCCCTTCTAGTTACTGACGATATTACCTAGTTTGGTAATGAAACATCTGCAAGAAAACCATCAAGCTCAGACAGCACCAAGGACCCCACAGTTCAATCCTGAACTACAGATATTCTTTTCTATTGATAAACACTTTTTGGTTAGAGCAGGGGTCTGCAACCTTAAACACTCAGAGCCATTTGGATCCATTTCCCATAGGAAAGAAAACACGGAGCCACAAAACCTGGGTGGGAGTGGCCAATTCAATATCACTCCCACCCAGTCACATGAACACCCCAGCCATGCCTATCCAGGTTTCGTGGCTCCTGGTGTTTTCTGTGGGAAATGAGTCTCCCTCCCTCCCTCTCATTTCTGTTTTTCTCTCTCCTCTCTCTCTCTTCTTTCTTTCTTACCTTTCCTTCCTTCCCTTTCCCTCTTTCTTTATTTCTCATTGAATACAATAGCAAATCCAAAATAAAGTGAAATTATCTTCTCCATAATCTTTTCATAGTGAACTCTAAGCTGGCAAGATAGCACTAACATCAATAGCATGTATGTATGTATGTATGTATGTATATAAATAATCTTATTTTCAGATGCATTTTTTGCCATTTCTGTTATTTCCTTTTTTTAAAAAAAAAACTAGACTTGCTTCCAATTTGTGCCTTCTGGCAAACTTCAGTTTTCTTGACAAGAGATCTAGCTTGCCATTGCTTTCGTCATAGGTCTGAGGGAATTTTCTTTCTTTTTCTTTCTCTCCCCCTCCTCTCTCTTTGTTTCTCCCTTTTTCGTCTCTCATTCTCTCCCTCCATCATTTTCTCATTTCTCTCTCTCTTTCTCTCTTTTTCTCCACTTTTTTGGTAATTTGGTAATCCATTCAAGACATGATATTTTGAAACTTCCAGAGTTTTTTCAAACTTTCCAAACTTCCAAAGACAGAATGGTAGGATCATCCCTCACTCAAGATCCAAAACGGGAAGGCCATTAAGCTACAATACCTTTTCAAAACATAAGCTCCTTCATTGCATCACCCCCAGAACAGTCCAAATTTCAACAAACCTGGGAGCTCAGATAAACACCTGAAATTTACATTTCTCTTTCAGTATTTTGCCTATAGAGCCAGCTATGACCCCTACATGACCCCATAGGAATCTAACAACAGCCAATAGAATACATGTTCTTGCACAGGAACAAAAAGTTCAAGCCCAAAAGAACGTATAAACCCCCACCCCCACTCTCAATTCCATTTTGTCAGCTGCCCAGAACCACAAACCAAGGTGGTTCTGCTTCATCAGTAAACCATCTTTCCAATCAGCCTCCCTGTTTCCAGTGTCTTTCTCCCAGCTTGGAACTGAACCAAATGGATATTTCTTCCCACAATTACACCAATCAAAACAGTTACTATATGAAAAAGATTTTGTGATAGACTGCACCTAATGATTGCCATTGTGTGAATAGGCAAGACTCCCATGGCAGCTATTTTATGTGTTTGTATATCTCTTAAAATGTTAGAAATAACATTAAGGGAACCTTATGAGGATATATATCAGCTTTTTTATTATTATTATTTTTATATTTTAAACCTGTTGTTTTTATAATTGTTCACTGCCCAGTCATGGTTTGAGATGGGCATTTATACACATTGAATGGATAAATCAATAAAAGATACTTTCGGGAAGCCTTTGAAAGTTGCTACAAAACAGCATTAACTGAGTTTGCCTGGCACCCTCATAAAGCAGTAAAACCCATGCGGGGAGAAGGCGGGGCTGATGCTGGCAATGCGATGCATCTCCTCAGGGCTCTGTTGGGATCATGCCAAAATTGAACTGCAGGGGTTTCGGAAGGACTTAAGTTACTTCGGAGAGGTGATGAAACAAGAGAGCACACCCCGTTGATTTCAGGAAGCCCACAAGCTTCCGGTTTGAGCTTCTTCGGCGACAGACCGAAACCTCATCTCTGCGAGGCTTCGATCCATGCTCGCCGCGGGAGCACCCCGAGCCAGCTGGTTTCGGGGCTAAGCCACCCCATAGAGGTGGTGAAGAAGGGGGAAACTGCCTGCAGGGTTGAGGAGAGCCGCATCTCTCCTTCCCAGCTGGCCATTACTCCCTTTCCCGAAGGCGGTTGTAGCGGTGGTCAGAAATGGCCACCACAAAGAAGAACTCGGCTGGAAAAGAATGTGCAGGAGGAAGATAAGAAGAGAAAGTTTTGGTTGACCGGGTCAAACAGCAAAAACAACAAATAAGGTACCCTGGAATTGAAACTATTAAAAAAAACCAAAAACATAGTTCCCTAAGAAGATTTTTAAGCTGCGAAGGAGAGAGAAAAGGGAAAAGATTTGGCTTTTTTTTTCTCCTTTTCCTATACTGACAGCTAAGAGACTTAAGCAAGAAATTGGAAAAAAAATCCACTTTGACATTAATAGGCATTTTAATGCTGAAAATAAAATGTCAAAGGGATAATAAAGATTTCTGGATAATCAAAAGCTTTTGAAAACAGGAGACAAAAAGAATAAAAGGGCAGGATCTGGAAGGGAGGAGACTACCTGGAATTAAAAAAGAACTTACAGCAAAATCTCAACAAGACTTCCAAAAGATACATTCCAACTGAAACATCGCAACAAAAAACCCAGGAAGAGAAAATGGAAAAAGAAATAAGAAGAAATAACTCGGGACTATTTGGGTTACTTGATGATTTCTGGATTTTTGGTTATTGTATTTGAATGACTAAAATCAATCGTGTGGTTGTTTAAATCTGTTTAAAATGGCTCCAATTTTAGAAGAACTGAA